GCGTGTGCATGCGTGCCCAAGATCCCGAGAGGAGAATGGAGGAGAAGAGATTACAGCATGGCCATCCCCCCTGGGGGGTGATTTCTCGCTTTCTGTCTCTCTGTCTCTGTCTTTCTGATGAGTGCACGTGCCCTATAGCAAAAACGGCTCCTTCGAAAAAATAAAAAAATTAAAAAAAATAAAAGGCAGCACCCCTGCAGAAATCCTCCCCTGACCACCACGAACTTCTTCCTCCCCTGCCTCTGTAGCAAGAGTGGCTTTCCCTAGGCGACTCCCCAGCCGCCCTCTCAGCTCCTTCAGGATACCAGTCGGACACCGAGCATCCTGAAGGCCAGGCCTGGCTTTGCGCATGTAGGAATCCAGCAACCAAGGCTTAAACAGCTCCCGTGTGCCCGACCTGCCAAGCCCTTCATGTGTGCCAGCTCGCTCCAGCCTCCCCATGGCCCCATGTCACTCAGGTGCCCATCTCACAGAGGAGGAGACCGAGACGCAGAGAAATGAAGTGTCCTAGGCAGTCACAGAGCTGATGGTGGGGAGAGCAAGAGCTCCAGCCCAGGTCCATGACACTGGGAACCCGTCCTATTGCTAAGCTTGTGCCACCTCAGAGCTCACGCTGTCACCCCCACCCCCCAGGCTGGATGTGGACTGGGTGCTGCGCTCACTGCAGTAGGGGTGTGAGGGGGAAGGGGTCAGGAGAGCTTCATGAAGGAGGTGCATCTGAGCTGGGCCATGAAGTGGAGCCAGGGTTTCCCCAGGTGGAGCTGGGAAGGGTTGGAACTGGAGTGAGAGGCAGGGGTGCTGGGAGTGTGGTGATGGAACGGCAGGTATGCCAGGGGCCGTGGTGGGAGGTGAAGAACAGGGGGGGGGTGGAAGAACAGGCGATGGAAGGCCCTATGGAAGGCCAGCCATGCCAAAGAGCGTGGGTGCTATCCCATGGGCAGTGGGGGGCTACTGTGAATCCGAAGAGTGTGCCGATGGGTTGTGGTGCTGGTGGTTTGCTGTAGGGAAGGAGCCAAGGGCATAGTGTGCCAGGATGGGGGACAGGGCCAGGAAGAGACTGCCGGGAGGGAACAGCTGAGCATTAGAACAAGAGCCCAGATCCTGGTCCAGTGCCCATGGTGGGAGATCTAGGGGGAGATTGGGCAATGGGATTGTGGTGGGCTAAGACCATCTTGGGTCAGGAGGGCAAGGTCTAGGACAAAACCCTTTCCACTTCATCCACCCCCACATGGCCTTCAGTGGAATCTGATCAAAGGAGTGCCAACCAAGAACTTAAAGGAGGCAAAAGTCTCTGGAGGGCAGCCAAGGGATATGGCCCCTGGCCATAGTTCCTGTCCCAACCCACCATCCTGGGCGGCTGCTCGCTCTCTGCTCTGCCTGGGGGAAGATCACCCATTCCACAGCCACCTGGGTCTGCCGGGCAGGACTTTGCTATGAGGGCTTGAGTCACGCTCACCAGACCCTTCTAGTGCTTTTAAGACTACAGAGGGACAAGAGAGTGGAGAGAGAGGAGGTCGAGGCTCTGGATTCAGCCAGACCTGCAGTTACATTTGCTGTGTGACCCTTGGCAGTGGCTTGGCTTTTCGGAGCCTCAGGTGGAAAATAGGGATAAGGAGCGTCTGCGCCTACCTCATGAGGCTGTCATGAGCTAACGAAGGGGTAAAGCACGCAGCGCCGGGCCCGGCTCCCAGGAGCCCTCACTCCGTGGTGGCTCTTAGTGCTAGTAAGCCCTGCTGTGTCCATTAGGGCTGGAATCAAGGCTTGCTCTTCTTTGCTCTTCTGCTCGTGCCTGCACGCACCCCACTGTGCATGCGCCCATGTGTGAGAGTGTCCCCATGTCTGCTATTCTAGGTGACCCACGTGTCCTCCCGGGGTGGGCAGAGCAGGGATTATCTTGCTCTTCAGAGATGGGAAAACCAAGGCCCAAAGAAAGTCAACAAACCGTCCAAGGTCCTACAGCTAGAGTGTGTTGGGGTCTCTCTCAGCTTCCTTGTCTCTGCCTGTCACGCTCTCCATTTGGCAGACCCCGGAGGAGAAGCAGGCAGGACAGAGAGACCTCCTTTGCCTTAGTACCGTCACCTCAGCCTCGGAAGGGAAGCGACTTGCCCAACATCACTGGGGCAAACGTCATGGAGCCAGGTCACTGTTTCTGGGCTTGGAAAGATACTTTCTGTACCTTTTAAAAAACTATCTTCTCCCTCCCTCCCTCCCTCCCTTCCTTTTTCCTTTTTAAGTTTTCCATGAGAGACAGAGAGGAAGACAAACACCTCAACAGGGTTTCTCACTGCGATCCTCCCCCGCCCTCCTAACCAGTCAGGATCATGGGCACACACGGGCCCAGGGGGCACAGGTTGACCCTGGGACTGAATCCCCGTCTTCCACATGGCATCCAGCATTGCAGAACAGCGTGCCACTGTGGTCTGGCCTGGGCGTTTGGCTCTTCTAAGGGCATTTCCACAGCTTGTATGGAAATGAGCTCATCCTGGCTCTGGAGGCTGGCACAGGCTCTGGCAGGGGCGGAGGGTGGGTAGCCTGGACTATACTCCCCTGAAGGATCTGGACCTCTCAGCGCCACAAGGGCCTTGCTTCTCCAGGAAGAGGCCTGCGGGAAATCCCAGAGGCCCACCTGCCTAACACAGAATCTGAGTAACTGAAGCTGGGAAAGAAAAAGGGGACTTCTGTGTCCCAGAGTGCCCACGCCTGAGGTGGCACAGGGTTCCAGTGTCAAAGTGTCAGCTTTTTCTCAGACACTTTCTTCCAGCTCAGCTCCCCTGTGGTTTGGGGCCTAGCGGTGTCTGTAGAGCAGTCTCTGCTTCCCACCCCCACCAGCCAGAGAGCAAGGGGAAGTGGCCCCACTCACCAGGAGTAGCAGCCAATGGCAGGCCTGCAAGGCTTAGCACCCACTCTGGTGGATTGGGGTGATAGGGCCCGTGTGAAGATTCATGCATCTCCCCCTCCCCCACCCACCATCCCTACAGCCTTAGAGAGGCAGCTGGGGTGGGAAGAGAGCAGCCGGAAGTGGCAGCCACCCCAAAGCCTGAGAGATGGGGCAGGATGCACAGCCCAGTGCCCCGAGGCTCAGCCTCTCACTGTCTCAGGCCCTGTCTGGGAACTGTTCCTGTGACCAGGAGGTGGGCAGGTTCCCATAGGGTGCCTGGGCTGAGCTTCAGGGGAAACCGATAGGACAGTGAGGGCCTGGAGGCCCCGGATCTGGGCCTGGAACTCTTGGACCTTGCTCAGGCCTGTTCGGGAATGGTCCTAGGATGTGCAGGGTTATACCCCTAATTTCCTGGAAGGGTCCTACAATCAAATCAAAGAAACGTAGATCTGGCCGAGCCTTCAAGAAATTTTCTGGTCACACCTCTGTCTCAGCCATTCGTGACAATGCTCTTCCTCCTGGCCTTGAAATCCCCCTACCCAAGGAATTTTTCCTCCTCAGTCCTCATCCCTTCTCACCATCTCACCAACTTCAGTTCTCATTCCTCACAAACAATTTTTTCCTACCCAGGAAGCACCCGTCTGCCTCTGTGACCCGTGGCAGTTTGGTAGGCTTTTCCTCCCAGCTCTCAAAATCACCTCAGGCTCCATCTTCAAGTTGGCCCCATTGTCAGTGGGCGCAGGGAGCCGCTACAGAGCTGCCAAGGGTAGGGATGCTGGGAGCATCATAACTCTAAGCTGGGTGGCCCAGCGGGGCCCTATGAGAGAGAAGGCTCCTGGGAGGCCATGCTTAGGCAGAAGTGGTGGCAGAACCAGCATAGGGGAGACAGGATTTGGTACAGTCTCAAGATTCACCTTGAGCACTGTCTTTGTTTGTATTTATTTGTTTATTGTATTTATTCATTGTATTCTCAAATTCTACTCTAGGATTCTGACCCCTAGTTTAAGGCCTTTATCCCATCACTGTAGAGTTGAATTCTATAGCTCTAGATTTCCAAGAGTCTATCTCTGTTACTCATGAATTTTAGAAGTCTCTTTGTACTTCTGTTACTCTGATAACTTCTGGGTCACTACCCCATTGCCCTCTGGGAGAGTGACCCTCTTCTACAGATTCAAGATAGGGTTTAGGGCTCTCCCCACTTCTAAGAGTCCTGGAGAAAATGGGTCAAGAGATGATAGGAGAAGTGCAGGAATTGAGTTTCTAAAGATGCTCCTCACCTTTTTCTTCTGAGTGGGCTCCTTTTCGCTGGCGTTGGAGGGCTTACGGCGCAACATGGTCCTCTACCTTGGGGAGACTCCGACCCCGCTCTCTTAGGTGTAAAGATGCAGAGGCCTCTTGGTCAGCCTTGCCAGAACCGTCCGGGGGCACGGCATGGACCGAGCCTCCGGCTGCACTCTGACTGCTGCAGTGGCAGCTTGGGGGTGCGGGCCATGGACACCCGGCGGCAGCAGCATACAGGAAGCCCTGCCACGTGACCTGCTCTTACAGCAATCGCAGCCCCTGCTGGCCCCTAGGGAGGAAGGAAGTCCCAGCTTCAGTCTCCAGAGATTCTGATGCAGACGGTTCTTGGGTTGAACAATCAGAGAAAAGTCCCTACCCTGTTGTCTCATGTCAATCATCATCAGACCTTCTACTCCGTCTCCCAGATGATTGCCAATCAGTTTGACGTTATATGGCCTACTAGAGTCCTTTATCTCAATCATGGGAGTCCGGAAACCAGAAATTGGACCATCTCTCTGCCTCTTGGGTCAACTTGCATCTCCAAGATCATCACAATCATCACTACCACTACGGCCACCCCTTTGGCCATCACCCCTATCCCCATTACCTATGACCATGACCACTGCTACCATCACTCCTATTGATAGCCATCACCATACAGCATCACCCCTACGGTCGTCATCCCTGAAGTCTTCCCTAGGGCCATCAACACACCTACATCCCTCATCACTGCACCAACCAGCTCTATAGCAACATTCTTCAGCCATCGCTTGTACAGTCATCACCATGACTGCCATCCTTACAACTGTCACCCTTACAGACGTTAGTCACCCCCACAATGCTCTGACCCCTACAACTACCATCCCTTCAGTCATCAACCCATACAACCATCACCATGTCCCTGCAGCCAACACTGTATAGCCATCACCCCTATATTCATCCTAACTACAGCCAGCATACCTACAGTCATTATCTCTATAGCAACTCTCTCTACAGTCAACACTTCTCAGTCATCTCCTCCCATCAGCCTTCTCACCACCATTATTACCCCCACAGCCAAAATCCTCACAGACACTGACCTTACAGACACCATTGCTATAGCCAACCACCTCACCAATAACTCATCCTTATAGCCATCAGTCCTATATCCATCAACCCTACAGAAGTCATCACTTCTTAGTTCACCATACAGTTCTCAGCTCTTCTGCCATCAGCACACTTGTAATTGTCATCAGTAGCACAGCACCCCTACACTCTACAGCCCTCAGGGGTCACACACATATTAATCACCACCACAGCTGAAAAGCACGTGTAGGTAACTAACTCCACACCACCAACTAGTGTCTCATTCAACAGTTATTTATCCATCGCCTATGCATTTGGGGATTGTCTGTGGCAGACATTTTAATAACTCGAATGATATTCTTTTTTTTTTTTTTTTTTTTTTTTTTTTTTTTTA